GTAGTTGACTATGATAAGCTTATTATTTGTTTTGTTGCTTCCAAATATTTTTCTTCTACAGTTTGTGGAAAAACACTAATTATTTATCCATTCAGATACAACGATAGATGGCGTCTATAAACAAAAAACCATCTATATCTTAACTTTAATAATGAAATATTATTGTGTTTGAAGCTGATGAAAGGTTCTTGTATCACCGCCCGTTGCTACTACTGATTGAATGATTTAATAAGGTCATTGGATTGTTGTCGTTGTAGTGGCTTTTCTGCTCGACTGATGCTGAGAAGATGACCTCATTCGAATATTTATAGAAAGCAAAGGTCGTAACACGGTTTCCTTAGGTGAACCTGCGGAAGAATCATTATCATGACACAAAAATATAGAATGAAGCATGCACCTGGCTTCGTGCTGGACTGCATGTACGCTGACTTAGTGGTATTTACCATAGGTTTCAACGGTTATTATTTTATCAGTAAAGTAATAAGATTATATTCAGTTAAATTAGTCTGAATGAGAAATCGTCAAATAACAAAAAATTAAAATGATGAAATTAACACTTTTCTGACAAGTTCGTTGGAAACTACCAAGGCAAAGCACATATCAGTGACGATGAAATCAGGAAATGCATGTCTAGATACTTTATCATAAAACTGTTCGCCTATGGTTTGACCTGTTGAATATCAATATGAAACGTGATTTGAAGTAATGTTTGTTTGTTGATAATAATCTTGTATTCAGCAGATAAATGCGTTCCTTTGTTCATTGTTTTAAAACATTACAAACAGAATAGGTTTTATTCACTAAGTCTTTAGTAAAGTAATATTTTTATGTACATACTAACTTACCCAACATTGATTATGGTTGTGTGAGGAAGTTTGAACAATAGCACTGTTACATTGAATTGAGAAATGACCAATTTATTATTTGAATACAGTTATTCAGACTTAAACTAATCATTTTATGTCAGTTTATAGAAGCAACCTAGTCACGTATGGCAGCGTGCTTGAACATCGGGGCTACCTGTTCCTGCCATCTAGATATTTCAACAAGTTATCTAATTATGTTTGTTTTAATACATCATTATGTCTATTAATCGCATAACCTATTCAAGTGCGTTTATGAAAAGTGTATAACCTTTCGTTGTACAAGTTACAAAAAGTTTAATCAGAGATATCGTGGTTGCTGAAAATATACAATGAAAAGAATGTACATTATTTAGATATCGATTGACTGGACTGTTAACATCTAACTGTCGATCAATCAATATTTATCATCAGGATCGACGAAGAAGTTGCACAGTTTACATTTCCACTAAGGATAAGATTAATAGCTCTTACTTCATTAGAATTAAAGCTCTTAATTATTTCGTGAGTCTTAAATCAGTTTTCTCTGGTAGCCTCATTTGTGACCAATTACTTTTGTTGGTTCAGAACGACAATGTAACTAAAGGAATCATCCGATCCCGATAACTTGTCAACATCAAAACACACCCACCTGAGTTGCAAATCCTCTCTATCATACTTACATTACTATCCTGAAATCGAGATGTGTTTTCTGTTTTCCTATATCAGTTAGAGAGACTTAAATGATAAATAATAGAATAATAATCATATTATATTGAATGTTATCAATACACACAAGTGTACATTTATGTTAAACCACCTTCAAAAGAGAACAATAATTATGAACGTCCATAGAAATGAATAAAATAATTATCTTCATTTAACAGTATCATTAGTACATCCTGAAACGTGTAAAATAAGTAATGGAAAAGTCTATGATATTCAAAGGTTTATTAAATATATTAAATGATATATGACAATAGACTTATGTAATCTATATGTAATGTATAAAGTAGTAATATTTTGATGTATAACACATTAGTTATCATAATAATGAAACAGCTGATTAAAAAATGATCCACACTTTTTGACATTATTCAGTTTGTCAATGTGAATGACGAACTTTCTATACAAATGTACTTTTATTTAAATTACATTCAAGTGGACATTGTCACTGAGATTACGTGCTAATAGGCTGAAAAGTAAATTGTGAGATAGTAACTGATTGAAGATAATGGAGGATGGTGGTGGAATTTCGTGAATTGGTTGTAGTTAGACATTAACATAGTCGGATGCCGGCTCAGTGGTCTAGTAGTTAGGTGCTCGCGCGCGAAACCAGTAGGTCCTGGATTCGAATCTCGCGAGGCGTGGCCGTGGATGCGCACTGCCTAGCAGTCGCATACGAGGACGAAACGGCCATCCAGTGCTTCTACTACTTCCATGTTGGTCAAGCTTCAATTGACCCATAAATTCAACTATCAAGTAATTTACCCACGTAACTGATTTTATCCTTATGACAAGTAGTGTCCACCACGTTTAATGAATGATAGTTATCTGAATCGACCGTATTCCACTGTGACGAATTCCCTACCCATTTCTACTACTCACATAATGACTGCAAAAGATCCTAGCTAACTGAGAATTCACAAGTATATTTATGTATCGAATTAGCAATAAACTGCATAATAATAATAATAAATATCTAATGAAAGAATGTTTACAAATTATAATGGTACTGAAGGTCGTAGAAATGTTTGACAAATGACATGATCAAAATTAATTAATGAAATGTTGAATTTAGACCTTTCAATCACTTACAATTGAACTCCACATTTAACAGACTCACTTGAACAATATTTGTGGTTTTCTAACAAGCATTTCAAAACATAAAATCAGTACATTGTCAGTTTGATTTTTATCACTGTAAACATATTTGTTCATCAATCAAGGTGTTTATAACCACAAGTAACTTTTTACCATTAAAATAAACCAACACCACATTTTGTATGCTCAACAATATGACATTTTTTAATTGGCCGTATTGAAATATTTTTATTTAAGGAGAGTGTTGGGGACGATAGATCCCCAAACTCATATTTTAAATTTTATCTTATCGATCATCTTATCGATTAAATGTTAGATATTTTTATTGGGGTCAATTGATGAATTATCGATTAAATGCACAAATAGGTCAATTAATGAACTCGTTGATTAATGTTCAAAAATCTTCCATGACAATATCGATTGTCAATATTTGTATAAATACGCTTGATTTGTATGCTTGATCTGATCTGCTTGCCTGACTTGTTATCTGCTGTTTGTCTGTAGAATACACTTTCTACACCTTACCAGACTTCTTGATCGAGTTAGCAGAGTTGGGGACAACGGACCAGAATAGCCTATCGAGTCGCTGAATCATTGATCCTTCGTTCGTTCGAGTAAGACGCATCAGTAATCGCATTCAAGCAATAACGAAACATAACAGAGAGTTAGGACAAGTAAGTGTGACTTGGACAGTCATTGGAGCTGATGTGGGTGATATTATTAGTTGGTTGGATGTAATCTTCAGGAAACAATACTTGACAATCGTCAGCAAGGCATACCTGATATCTTAACAAACTAATGTTCTGTGGTGGACTGAAACCAGGGTCACTCTGTAGTATAGTATGAAATACTAACACTGAGGTATTCATATTGCGGCCAACATTCTGCAGAGACCAACTACTTACATCAATTGATTACTAAACGGTGATTAATACTACGCTTGTGTAGTCCCTTAGTACTGATCACATTTTATCGGTTGAGTTGCAACGTGGCCACTAGTAAACATAACTCAATACCAAGTGCATTATGATGATATCCAGGGTGATTAGAGATAGTTCAAATCCCACACAGTACATCAGTACTCTCAATATGGTATGGTTTCTTCCAGAATTCAGAACAAGCAAGTTAATCCGAAGAAACATAATTTCCTATAAACAGGTACTCTGAATGTGCATAAATTTCTAAACTTTTCTACCAACAATGTCACAATGTTCGACACGTTTTACTGATCACACAGTATACCCTCTGCTTTAGAACTATGTAATACTCAATTTCCTGAAAGTTTACAGGATCTTCAAAATCTCTTATTGAAATTCATATGAATAAATGAGTTGGTCACTTCTCAAATATCCCTCATAAAACACATCTGAATTACCTATCTTATGGACATGAAATCTACCACACTATGTTCTTATTTTCACCATATTTATAAGTAGTGTAGTGAACAAGAACTTGGGTGGGGACAACCAATTGTATTCAGCACAACAATCACAGACTATCTCAATAAAATGTGAATACCATAAAGTCAATCGTCAATTTGCAAAATATCATTCCATCATATCAAACTGTACTGTTCCCGTTGCAAACACTAATCCATTTTCGCCCATTCCATTGTACATGCGTTTTCTTACAATTCCATTGTGCTCTTGCTCTTCCTTTCTTGATCTTCACCATCTTCTGCTGCCGGACATTACGTTCTTTTAACGCACGTTATATACTACTTATATCAATATAAGTAGCTCACACCACAGTAGTATGTGTTTGTATTTTCAATAATTTAGTTTCGTTGTGATTATCAAAGAGAACATGGTGTGATGATTGAAGATTACAGGTGAATAATTTGTGATATAATAGTAAGCTAAAATGTAACAATCTTCTATACATCTACATGATACATAAACATGTACCATGAAAACTTGTCAGGATTGTAACAACAATGTAATGCTAATAAGAATAATATTATTATTACCACACATACACACACATAAGCACACATGCAATCATTTAATTCACATAATAAGATTGTATCTTTATTGTCGGATAAACACTTTCATGTTTATATCAGAGATGTGTGTAATGCAAATCCATTCAGTAGATACAATATCTCTTCAATCACAAGTGTTATTTCACAGTCCTATTTCTCGTTAGGCACAAAGTGTTTGTAAATAAATTGTGTTTACTTATGTTTGCTTGAGCAGTATTGTATTCAAACTTGGATGTTTATGAGAAATGTTGACTTCGTTTATGGAATGAGAAAAGGGTATATAAATAAAATAGGAATATTGGAGTCTGTACTCAATCGTAACAAGCGCAATGAATATTTTGCATTTGACAGCTTTATTGGCTGTTCTAAGTAAGAGATTAAAATTTACTGATTGTAAATATGCTTTTAAATTGTTTCATTTTTTGTGAAAGTATCTTAGTGATTGATTACAGTAATATTGTAGTGTCGGTTACTATGCTAAGCGCATATACCTTATTCTAGCTTCTTCACAGGCCAATTTATCCATTCTTGTGAAGTCATGTTTTGACCATTCTAACTGTTCACTTATGAACCCTGACTGTCTTCGTATTAGTGTTATTCGGTGTTCGCTTCCTATCCTATTCATTACATATCTGTAATCAATTTTTGTTGAGCTCTTCATATCGATTAACGGTTGATTAAATTGGGTTGGCTCACACGCCTTCTCCACTGAGCGTCATTTCGCTTCGCTCGATTCTATTCACTTCATTCCTCTGATTGCCTGTCCAGATCAGTCAGTGTACAAATTATATCTATTCAGAAATCCATTCTCGTATTAGATTTATTTAATTCAGTTATTGACCAACGCGTTTTAAGTCGATGAAATATTGGAGGATAACCGACATGGTGTATTTCGATGACAATCAGCATACAATGCAATTGGAGTCAGATATAAGGGCCACCAAGATAGATTTATATACATCTGGTTTAACACCGTAATCCATCTATCTGTATTACCGATGCCTCCCTATTTCATTTATACTATTGAAGGACTGCATTTTTGTGGAACATTCCTTCTCAATATAAATAACATAATTGATTTTTCAGATCTGGTGTACTTGCACACAACTGAAGCATCATTCTTGCTAAAATTTCTCTGTAAGTGTATGAATGTTTGTTTCTCGATGTTTGTAATTCTCTGTGATTCAAATGGTTTGTAATCAACCCATTTATCTTCATTTACTATTTGAATGTGTGAATAGGGTGGCAAAATGTAATAACGTTTCAATGCTAATTAGCAACCAGGTGAATGTTTTACTGAAGAACAAATGAAACATGAAACATGTACTAAAAGTAAAAACAATATTATGATGGGAAATCATTGATTTTTGATCCTCTTCAATTGTCTCAGATTGGTTACATCTTGCTGTTCGATTCAATACATAAACACTGATTTGTTGTTTATCAGAATAAGGGATGTGAAAAGTAAATGATAACTGCCAATTCAATCTTTAATCATGCATATTATCACACACAACAGGGTCTTCGATTATGTTACTATTAAATAGTGTATCTTAATTAATGTTTGTAGAAATGTTTCATTATGATTATGATCATCTGGAGTGTTCAAAGCATCCTACTCACAGAAAACAGTAAACATATATGTATAACTGATAGTCGATACTTTTCAGAGTGGTATATTGTTGTGATCGGAGACAATAATAAATCAAATATTCTTATCATTAACTATAAGTATTCCCTATCATCTCATTAGTATAGTACAAACTGCCATAAATTACAAACTAATGATAAACTCCTGATACAGAATGTCCCCTGAGGACACGTATAGACAAACGTTAAACTGGTAGCATTCTTTCATCAAACTGGAAATTATGCTAAAATTTGACTTTAGAAATATTTTTCATATGTATATGTTCCAGAAAACAACGTTAACATCTATTTCTTAGAAGCTTTCAAGTTAAAAATGAATGTTTGTTTTGCATATTTATAGGTCTATTCGGAAATAATTCATTTTGCCAATGTATGTTGATTTCATTAGTCACTCATTATTCAGAATATTTTTTTCTATATCATAATTTTTCGGTATCATTTATTGATTTGGTGAATAGGGCAGTTCAGTTTCACAGTATCCAACATGAGATAGAATTTTAGTTTACTGTGAAAATATTTAGTTCAGATGCTTAGTATATGAGGATGAGCATAGGAAAAACGAGTGTAAAAAATCACATTTCTGGAAAATTTCCCTGATGGACACTTCAATAAGCCTAAAAATATTAATTGTATGAAATCACACTGTAGACCTTTAACATTGAAATATCAATTCCCACTAATCAAAATTTATTATCAGAAAGGGGGTTTTGTGGAGGGAGATCGTAGTAATTTGAAAGCTGAATTCATGAGTCGATTAAATCTAGACAACCATGGGTGATCTGGAAGTCCTAAATGACGGTCTGGTTTTAGTATGAGACTCCTCAACAGTGTGCATCGATGATCTCGCTCGCAGAATTAGAGCACAGGTTTGGTAGATAATCATCATCACTGAGAATAGGTGCAAATACTGAATACTTGAAAAAAGAAATCCATGTTGGTTTTATTTATAAATAATTGTGATTCGAGTGAATGTTGAATCGAAATTCATTTGAATACAGCATATTTGGTGTTGGAAATTCCTTCTTCAATGATACTCATTATAAGGATAATGTTTTCTTTTACATACTTGATTAGTCTACCAAACTTTACAGCTGTAAGCTATTTTTGTAATTAATCACCATTATATTCAATCATTAATATAACTTATGATTCTGTAAATCATTCTCTGTGAAGATACTTTGGAAACCTTCGTTTGTTAATCATTTGCATAAAATTTAATTTGAAATATGATTTCCAATAATTCTCTTATTAACCTCAGTAGGTGATGAATATTTCTGTCAAATTTCATTTCTCAAATCCTTATAATAATGTCCCTGGTTATACTACTGACTGACTCAACGGATAGGTTGGTTTCGAAATATCTGTTCAACATTTTGATGATCATGATGTCCCACTCCACTGTTTATCAGAAAAGGACAACATCGAAGATCAGAGATACAGTGAAATTGAAAAATAAATATCAACTAAACTAACCAATAAACAACTTAATTGAGAAATGATGTTAATCAATCGTCAATCGACCAATAACCAAGAAAACAAACGTATAATTTCAAGGATTTCAAATAGAGATAACCTTTACAAGTTATGTAATAACCGTCTAGAAATGTTTATTTTATAATATCGTATGGTCGTTTTCAGATGTGCGAAAATGTTCTCCATTTCCTTAAAAGGAAAAAAAGTGGTAAATTTGAACTGTCCTACATTGATTGAGTACTATTCAACCTCAGTTTACTGTTCAAAATGTAAATCTTAGATTAGAGCTTGAGGTTCACAGTTTATTTATATACAACTGCGTATAGACTGACGATGTGAAATCCTTTTTTTCTAGTTTAAGAAATCGTAAGTTCATATCATTCGAAATTTAACCTTCAAATAGGTGTGATCTTCATTGTTACATGTCAAATTCCTATTCGTTTGTCAATATTTGTTATCTCTCTTTCATCCTTCACGGTCAGGCATTAATTTCTATAGATTATTACAAAGCATCCATTCGATCCATTCATCTCATCAATCGTAAATGATTTACTACATAGAAGCACTCTGAAAATTTATAGTAGTATCAATTGATTACATGCTTCTTTTCAATTTTCAAGAAGTTTTCTTACTGTTTAAATGAGACTAATCAATTGTGGTTTGGTATTTATTACATCTTCTTCAAGTTTCACTAGCTGACGGACCTGGATTACCAGGTATGTAAATTAGGATGTGAAAAATTAATGCGGAAATCATGTTAAATGTCAACATTAAAATAAGAACTGAAGTGATCTGTAGAATGTTTCTATGTTGTATTAAAAAGCTTAATTTTATATATTGAAAAGTATGTTGGAAACAAACCAGCTAATACCCAATTATATTGAATTACTCCTAATCAACTTATAATATTATTTCATTTGAAAAACTATTATTTTATTCTTAATTTACACAGTGCTAGAATAGTGAAATGATTTCGTCACCATTTACTGGTTGATTTTCGTCTTTATGTATGCCACTTCACTTCCGTCATCAATAGTTTCTTTCGTGAATTAATAATAAAAACACTACATGTAATCGTGTTTTCATTTCTTGCATAACATAAAAATTAAAAACAACCTTGCTGAATTCTTCAATCCTGTTGTCTTCTATGACGGACACTCTTTATTTCACACATTTACATTTAATGTCAGTACACTGTCTTTAGATTACACCTTACTGAGTGTAATATTAGCCTTTATGTTCTTCAGGGGTAGATGATAAGTTAGGCAGAATTACTCTGACTAAAACAAACACTTCATAGCCTGCTCTTTATAGGCCAATTCTGTGATCAATAGCATTTTGATAAACAGGCATATGATAAATGAACAGCGTTTGAACCACTGGACCTTCAATCGAGCGCGTGAACGTTTAAGCTCTAGATTAATGAGCAGTGATCTAATGGTGTACCAGTCTAACTTCGATCAATCTGCAACGTCGTGCGATCTTCTCTTATTGTCTTCAGTTCACACCTTCTGCTTACATGCTACGGTTGATTTGAACTGTTGACGGTTTCTTTCTGAAACTGTGCAGATTGCTTTTCTCAGATAGTCATTAGCAAGCTCGCGAAATCAATTTAAATATATAATTGTCAGTCAACAAGTTTTAGACCTCAATGGATGAAGCAAATATTAGGAACTATAACTTTCGGAAATAACATTTTATAGTCTAACTTCATCTTTCACCGAGCTGCAATATTCACGAATTCTATGTAACTGCATTAGTAGTTTAACTTGTTTAATTAACACTTTGATTGAAAAATACATCTTTGATACTCTACATACATTCAGAAGCAGAACAAACGAGCTAGTCCAAAAGGCGAACCGTTGCATTTATTATTCAACTAGCTTGCAAGTGAACGACAAATAGGCACGAAACTTTCAAACCTGTTCTCGTAGCACATGAAATTCATTGCTACTCTAGATATACAATGTAAACAAGTTAAAATATTTCGAAACATGACACTTTTGAACGAAATTCTCTACCTCCACATGTAAATAATAAACGGGGTTTACATTTGGATTTCAGGAAGAAGACTGCTAAGCGAATTGTTACCATACCTTAAGAAACGTCTCTACTTTTGCATCGCCGCTCAATATTTTGATTAATAAACACACATTTCAATAATACGACGTTCTCTGAAGCACTTTGAGTTAAGGTATCATCGATTAAGAGAATCAAATGTTGTCTCAATGTGACTCAATCAATCAATAATGAATTACTTGGAGATTAGACATAGTTTAGTTCATATTCGACAGAATTTTCGCAAGTTGTGGAAACATAGTTATGGAATATTAGAGATATGTTTGATAAGCAACATGAAAAATAGTCTGAAGAACACATTATGATAAAGTGCTTCGAGATGTAGTCACGAATATTTCATCATCGTATTAAAAAAATGTGAGCATATAAATCGCATACATTTTAATAAGAGATGAATGGAGGCTAGCAGTGGAATTTGAGGATGTGCGTTTCGTCCTATCTGGGACCTATCACCTGGATCAGTACTATCAGTACTATCCAT